GTAAAAAGAGTCAGATTGTAAAGCCTAATGAATATCCGAAATGAAAGACATTTTGACTGATGGAACATGCGGAGGTACTTATTCAGTGATATCCATTCTGTTCTAAAGCATATATGTATATAACACTTCCTTGTTTCTCATATATAACCAGGATATGTCTTCAAAATTCGTTTTAATGTAGACCTCCTACATATTTCAACCTCCAGTTCGTTTGTTCAGATCTGTTCTCTTTTATAAATGTCAGTTTCCTTATTCACCCGGCATGTCGTAAATTTCCCTGTACATCTTGAAATAACCTGTACAGATTAACGTCATAAAGAACAAAATTGTTCTTAGCTTACAAATGATTCGTTGGTCTGCGTGGCTGGTTTGAAAATTCACCCATCCTAACCAAACTTTGAGATCGCACCATAATATAGTTTTCCAGTCTAACTTACTCTAGCCTAGTGACAAGACTCTCTCTGTATACCAGCACAAGTGTACTAGAAAAGTATAAAATATGGATATATCACCACATGACCGCATTCATGTCATTCCCTTTTTCGTAGCTTTGGCCTTAACTGACCTCTATTGCTTCAACCTTCCCCCAAACTTCAGTGACCAATTTTTTATTGCGGGGAAACTCTGTTCGGAAGATGACCTGAGTAGGGTTTAGTGTTTTTTCACTATTTCCGCAGCTACTAAGCTTATATTGATAAAGACGAATGAATTTTCAAATCCAAGTATGGCTTACTGTTTTTTCACCCATTCAAATGCTCTTTTCAACACTGACAGATGAACAGGAAAAATGTGGCACCGATTTCTACATACATTATATTCAGTTAAAATAAGAGGTTTTACAAGTACTAGACTGAAATGTTTGCTGTGAAACCACCTAATATTGGAAACATGAGTGTACCTACAAAGTAGCTTTGTTGTTTAAGTTTTGGATTATGCATAACCACAACCCTGCCATGCACCAAGTTCTGGGCACTTGGTCTCAAGAACAACTCCTGCCACTGGATTATGCCAATAGTGACTGTGTAACGAGGGTTGACTGGATGAGGCACAGAGGCTTGATCTAAAGATTCGAGGGCAACAAACAGAGTAAGAAGATAACTTTTAGGTATGGTCTTTTACAATATGAGGCCTCGGTACTGAGTGACGAGATACCGGGCTGAAAAAAGAATATAACTGGAGTAATCGAAAGGTTCCGCGTAACTAGTGATTTGACAGAACATAGATTATCATAAACTATTGACAAGGCAAATCGAAAGTGCCCTTAGTTTTCTCAGATTTGCGTTCTTCCATTCTCAAAGCCCGCCTCGAAGATGACGAGCAGTTAAAAAAGGGTTCATCATGAAAAAGTAAGTGAGATTAAATGTTCATTTTTTTCTTAAAAAGTTGCACCACTCAGACTTTGATGGAAATTGAAATCTTAAACTTCATGAAACCAAACGCAGATAACGAACGAGTGCGATTCAGATCATTATGAATATGAGGTTTATCATACATGAATGTAGTAAACTGAAGTGAAGGGTCTTTCATCCCTGGGATTTTTCTCTAGGGTTCAGTAAACTGAGTGTTTTAAATTACCTGATTTATTCATAAATACACGATTTCAAAATCATAAAAACTGTTTAACTAAACTGGAGTTCACATGTGTGAATGAAAATACGAAGTATGACTCTTCGATGTTAAACACAATGCCTTCAACTGAAGAAGTCGATGAACATTTGTCTTGCTTTGCAGATCAGTATTTCTTGTATCATTTCAAGCTTGCTCCGGTGTGTGACAGCTTCACACATATTATGTTCAGTTTTCGTGATTTATTTATAGTTTTTTCAATAATAATTTCATACTAGTGACATCAAAGTGAATTCTAACTGCTAAACAAACACTTATTGATCTGTTCGATTACAAACAACTAGGCTTTGTCAACTATTGGTTTCTGTTACGTCTACCGATCCTTATTTCTCCTCTCCTTTTTATTCCGCGCTAAAATTTGAGACTTCACAAACTAGAACCGTGTTTTAGCTCGCCAAAATCATAATTTGTAGGAAAAGAGGTTCTTGGATAGTTTGTAAGGAGTGCAAACTCGTTGGGCACGTCCATCACACATTGATAGTATTTAGCTTTTCATATCTGCACGAATATTCTGTAGAATATATTAACAGATTCAATCCAAAGTCTTTTAACAGCCCGAAACACAGCTAACGCTTCTCACTGAATCTGTGAGTAACCTTGTCCGGTAACAGTAAGTTTGCGTAAAACACAGATAACTGGTCTACCTTCCTGCTCCACAATTGCGCAATACCTACAGGTGATGCATCAATAATAGGCACAGAATGTACGTGAGGGGAGTAAGTTCGAAGAACAGTATCACTTTGAAGAAACTATAGTAGACTTCTTAAGCATGACTCTTGTTCCTCAACCCCATTTGAATGAATCGGATGTCAAAATATTAAATGAACAATTCGCACGACAAGAAAAATTAGGAATAAAACGGGAATAGTATTGAAGAGCACCCACTAGTGTACGTAGTTCCGTAAGATTTTTTGAAGGGTGGAGCTATCCGTTTCATATCTGATCTTAAACCATTGACATCAATCAAGTATCCAAGATATTAAAAACTAGACATAACAAATGAACACTTATTTGGATTCACCTTAATATTCTTCTCAATTAAACGTCGCAATAAAGCAATAAGTCTCTGGTCATGAACTACCTTATCACAATCATGAGCAATGAGATCATCTTGATAGACCTTAAACCCTCAAGATCACATACTACTGTGTTCATTACTTCTTGAAATATGGCTGGAGAACAATTTAGAACAAATGGAAGAAAATCGAATTTGAACAGACTAAACGGAGTGTTAATTGTCGTCAAAATAGATGCAGATTGATGTAAAGTGATTTGGAGATAAGTTAACTTTCGAGAACACTTTAGAACCATGAAGTCGATTGAGAATATATTCAGTCTACCGTCGTGGACGTTTGCTTCAACACATGGGAGTTCACCGTTAATCTATAGTCACCACAAATTCTAGGGGTCTTGCCGTCTGACTTCAGTGGCGTAACTATAAGAGTACCCCATGCTGAAGACTGAATTGGTTCAATTATGCCTTTCGCACACAAATCGTTCAATGTCTTATGTACTGCTTCTTGAAGACCACAAGGAATTATTCGTCTTTTAAGAAAGACTGGATCACCCTGTACGTGAAGTTTTATAGGCTGAATTTTCATACCTCTACTGTACTTATCATACGCAGCTATCAAATATTTATGTATAGCACCAAATTTGTTTTAGAAACTAGGAAAGACAACTCCACTATAAGCCCTTTCAAATTCCTTAAACCCAGTATTGACAGTCCTGTTACGCTAACTAAAAATTCACAAGGCATATATGAAGAATTATCGTCTCTTATTAGCAGTTCATAGCATCCTCGTATGGGCAGTCTGTGCCCGGTAATCCACAATATTGAGATTTCAGGGGGTCGTAACACAACGTAACGATCTCAAGATTTCAAGTTCGTGAATGAGATAATAGACTCTATACTGACAGTGTTCACAATGAAGTGACGAAGCAAATTAAGGGATATATATAATCGCTTTTGAATATAAACATAAGCTTTGGAAATGGTGGACAGATATAAATGATCACGGTATAGTACTACTTGAAGCAAAATGAACAGTGGTTTTGCATAATGACTGGATGCATCTTATCTCACCATATTTATAACATTTAGCATTACGAAATGCACATGAATTGCGAGAATGAAAGTTGCCACGGGATAAACATTTACCAAACTTGTTCTCACTTTTATGGTTTGCTTTGCAATTCCCTGTTGAATCGCCTTTCATATTTTTACGCGAATATGAATCACTATTAAATGAGCGCAAGTTTGATGGGCCCTGATATTGGATTTCATAATGACGGATGAGCAAAGTATTAGAGATTTTCATCGACTGGATATTAAGGTAATACATGTAGTTCTGGCATCTTGAAAGGAACAGTTCAGCATTCATAACAGCTCTCTTTCGAGATATGGTATGTTAATTACTACGATTAATCGATCGCTCAGCTGCACATGAAGGTGACCACCGAAATTACATTTGGTAGCTTGTTTCTGAAATTCAAGGATGAATTTCTCAACCTTTTGGTTATTCTGGAGAATCATCATATAAAAGTTTACTCTCTCATGGCATTCGAAGCTGGTGCACTTTACATGATTTAATAGTATTCCCGTAAACTGAGATAGACTTTTCTGGATATGCCAGAGTTTTTAATAAGCTGTATGCGTCTTTTTTGATGAATGTGAGGAAATATGCCGCAATTTTGTCACTTTTAACATCTTTCTTGTTCATGCACCATCACAGGTTCCATCGTGGCTCCAATACGATAATTGGAAGTATTTGAATTATATTACAGACTAGGAATCCCAGAAATGGCACAATTTAACCGAGAACTATATGAGGACGAACGAACGCATTGTATTCAGGGTTCGAAATCAGGCAGTCATGATGTACAAAGGGATCATTAGTTCATACAAACACCCCACTGTGCTAGTTCATGGTGTACAATTACCCAATGCTCGTCGGCTGTCCATGTCCTTGATGATGATCGGTGAACCGTTCGATATTTTATGATCAGACTGTCGGATGATCTGGTTATGGCTTCGTGACATTTCACAAGGTCGTCTTCAATGTAGAAGACTTAGAGAAATCTTCTTTGCGAATTTACTCGCCACTACATATAATTTCTGGATACACCACAAGAAGTCATAGAAATAATGTCCAAAATGTTGTAAAGGTTTTGTAAACAAAAACCAGACGTTTCGAATGAATTAGCCAAACTAATGTCAGTACCTCATTGTTAAAAGAGTAAAACGGATCTCCAAAGAGATGTCTGTTGAAAGGAAAAATGTGGGTTGATTGATATACCATCTTTTTAATGCAGCGCCTACTTCTCGAGTTTAGTGTTATTGGGCTCGAGGTCAGTATGAAGGTCGCGAGAACTCTCTGTTGGATGCTTCGCGCCCAATTTGTGTTGTGGGAGACCATATCAACTAGTTTCGATTATCAGATTATCAGCGAAGACTATAATATACCGACAAATCAGTGAAATTAGGGATGGAAAGTCCTGGATTTTGGCATGAAATTCATTCACATATAAATAGCATTTAAATGCTATGTAATGCCAAATTAGGCATTACATTCCGACAATGCGTATGAACTCTCAAGTTTTGACTGGTGATAACTTCTAGATTGGTGGGTTTTCTGTACAAAGGATAACTCGACTTTGGTATATAGTGTCAAAACTTGCAGATTCCTGCCTTCGGTCACTTCAAATAAAAAAAGTTCAATGGTTATTTTAAAAATCTACGTATAATTTAAGCGTACGCTTAACAGCCATAACGTAGTATGTAAAGCTAAAACATGCGTTTAATCAGATTAGGGTGCTGTAGAAATTGTTTGGGTTTGCATTTTCACATAGAAATCGGGTTTTCAATCATCTAAATAAATTCAGTCCGCAACGTTAAACTAAACAACATACATTGTCTCACCAGTGTCTTTTTCATTTAGGAAATCGCACTCTTGCGGTCATGGTTCAAAATGACAATAGTTTTAGTCATAGGAAGCCTACAAACATTAATTGAAGGACTTTTCTCTAGTTATTCAAGCTGGGAAGTGAGAAATCCTGATTTCAAACCAATAATGTACATGGGCTCCAGGATAAATGGCGCATGAACTTATTGTTGGTCACCGGCTACTATGGGACTGCATCTCCTGATGTTGCTCCACTGCCCTGTGGATTAGATCTCTGGGTCAAATGCTCGATGGTGTGACTACTTCAGGAGACCACTCGATTCGGTTTCAGCACCTAGGGAGCATTCCAGGCCACATGCAAGCTGAATGTTAACTACTCTGTGTAACTCATATGTAATGTGGTGCATTTCTGTACCGGCATTTATTTTTTGAAATAATTCAGGATGTCCTTAATAAAACGTAGTTAAAGGTTAGTGAATAATGTTCCTCTCCGTTTTTTCGGTTCGAAATCAGGGTTTTCTAACCTCCTTAGATGGGCTCTCCATTATCCACCAACCCGGTTACAAAGCGCAGGACATTCGCTTTTCATAATCTCAATTTCGTAAACAACACTCTCGCCATGAGAAGGCAATGAGTAGTACTTCCCTGGTAGTGGCTGTATGCACGTGGCCATGTGAGAGCACTTCGAAAGGCAGAGCTGACTCTCCCCACCCTTGGCCGTACCAGGGCATTTGGGGGCTCACGTATGATGATAGACGGCTAACATCAACCCTTCTAATCATTTTGGCACAGTTCTTTTATTTACAGGAATACTTCTAGGTTTCTGACTTGGTATACCTTTAGTTTTCTGTGTCATAATTGAATACAACGGTTCATTACATCATAGATAGTTGAAAAACTGCTTAGTAATGTTCTATATTGGTTCATTGTATTAGAACCAAACCCACTATATATGTAGAAGACTTGAATCCACTTGTCTTCCGCAATGGTAGTCTGCTTCATGTAGCGACAATTCGAGATCAATAGACAGTAAAGCCGAGAATAAATAAATGAATGGAAGTATGGTTCCACGGTGATATTTTAAGACTAAGATTGGTATGTTTTCGTACTTTTTATCACAGTCCGTACGTTCTCTGGTACTGTTCACATATCCTAAGCCAAAATTTTTATCTTAATAAGGAAGTCGGAAATGCCTATCGCAGTTACGCAATCGGGTTATTTTGTCTCGAGCATATTCTTTTGAGTTGCGCCATGTCAGGCAAGTCGATTAAGTGTCAGAAAAACTAAAAGCAATCATTTTAGCACCTAGAGAGAGGTTCTACTGTAGACTGTACTTGGATGTGTCGGCAGAATGGCGTTTTCAACGGATAATTGGAATTTCAAGTAATGTTACCTCTCCACAGAAAAGGATTTATAAAGATTCGTCCCCAGGAACAGCTCACTTTGCCTTTCCCTAAGAATCCCCAGTATCGGCGGTAAGATCCGAAAAGTTCAGAGCTAACGAAACAAAATTATGTATTACCGGTTTCAAATTATTGTCTTTTGGTTTTTCTAGTAGCACTCGTACGTCAGCAAGGTAGTCATCATTATTAGTTTCCTTTCAATGTTCCTCCAGAAGAAGCTACATTCCACAATGTACCATATATGTGGATGTCAACCATCCACAATCTAACTGCACACAATATTCTTACTATCGATCCTGCTTTAATCCCATATCTGTTAAATATAATCGGTATTAATTCTCCGATCTTACGAAATGTTAATCCTAGTCTTCAGATTTTAAAATCCCTGTTACAATTTTCAACACCACAGCGGACAGAAATTTTAATTCGTTTTCTCATTGTTTGTTTTAATCTTAACCATTGATGTCCAGGACTGTAATTATTCAGTCTCATATTGGTATGCATCCTGTGTGAATTGCTTCGATATTGCCTTAATTCACAAGCATTATAAGCAAAGACTGATAAATTGCAGTCCTAAACATCAATGGTAAGATTCAAACAAGCGATACATAAATAAAACTTCACCTCATTGCACAAGCTAGTGACTATCTGGACTCCGTAGCTAAGTGGATAACGCGATGGCGTTTGATACGAACGGTACTGAGTTGGAGTAATGCAGTGAACATCAACTCTGGAGTACAGGTATACTGCACGGCAGTTCGTTCTGTTTTAATTTACGGCTGCTAAACGTGGCCATTGTGAGTAGAAAATGCTCATATGTTGCTAGTATTTGATCACAGCTGTCTTAGAAATATTGCTCGCATCTACTGGGATCACCGGGTAATTAATAGTGAGGTTAGATGCGGGGTATTCCGAAATAATGGTAAATCAGTTGATGAGGTTGTAAATCTTCACAGACCTAGATGGTTGGCCACGTGTTACGTATGCCTGAACACCGATTACCACGACGCACAATGCTGACTAGTATTAGGGATGGTTGGAAGGAAGCTGGGGGCGGCCAAACCAAAACGTGTCATCAGTCCTTGAAGTTACTAACTTCTAGTCTGACCCATGTTGGTAGATACAGACTACTAGGTTGAGGTCCGCGCGGCTATTGTAACCGATGGTTGTAGACTATGGGTGACATGGATCAGATTCAATCACAATGGCGTAGGTGTCATATTCTTATATACAATTTTGCTTTTACATACTACTACCATTGAAGTAACTGCTTCTATGAATTTGGTGTTCATCTTGTGCTAATGAGGTGTGGCAACTTGAACCGATGCATATATATATGCCTGAACCTACGTTGTAGCCGACTGACTGACTGACTGGGATACAGGTACATCCAGCTGGCGAGTCCCAGATAGGACGAGACACGCGTCCTGGATTCCATTGCTATCCATCTTTTTTATAGGACAACAGTTTCTTCTAGCAAAAATCTCAAGATCTTATATTGATGTGTGCTATACATCTGAAACCCATATAAATGATCCACAATTCACCATTCATCTAGGATCACCTAACAAATGTGACAAAGCACCCCCAAATGCCCTGGTACGGCCAAGGGTGGGGAGAGTCAGCTCTGCCTTTCGAAGTGCTCTCACATGGCCACGTGCATACAGCCACTACCAGAGAAGTACTACTCATTGCCTTCTCATGGCGAGAGTGTTGTTTACGAAATTGAGATTATGAAAAGCGAATGTCCTGCGCTTTGTAACCGGGTTGGTGGAAAAAGGAGAGTTTACCTAGGGGAGTTAGAAAACCCTGATTCCAAACCAATGGTGCATATGTTCTGCAGTATCCTGAAGGAACAAATGGCGTATGAACCAATTGTTGGTCACTGGCTACTATGGGACTGCATCTCCTGACGTTGCTCCATTGCCTTGTGGATCTGACTTTTAGGTCAAAGGCTCGGAGAGTGACCACCTAAGAAGACCACTTCCTTCGGTTCGGGCACCCGGGCAGTATCCAAGCCCTCACACAAATCGAATGATTTATTTGGTGCTTCCTTATTCCAGTGTTTATGTATTTAAATAAAATTAATTGATAAATAATAAGCCTTTTTTGCGGCATTCTCGAGGAAGCAGGGTTCTGTTCCTTAGCTGGATACCTATCGATAGTCGTTTATACGCTGTCCGACCATCTGTCATGGTAAAAACTCGAGAATATCAGGACTCCCACTACCTAGTTGTCGTTTGTTTAACTCCCCACTAAATTCAGCTCTCACGAAAAAGAATGATATAGAACTTTATAACCTCATCCACAATGCTTCAAACATGAAGTATGAAAGTAAAGGACGTGAGTAAACTATATATTTGGTTATTAATATCTTCGGTGGGTTGTTTGCGTACCTGTTTATCTTCAATAACACATGTTGGCATTTTCCGGTCTTCATTGTCTTAAAAAATAATTGTGCACTGTTCATGCACTTTTTTTATGTACACTAGTTACATTTATTGCATAAAGCTTTACGGAAACTTTTTTTCGAAATAAAGTTTGTTAACTTTACGTTTTCGGTTGATTTTTCAGATACCTGTTCATTCAAGAAGTAGATGTAAGTAAATCATTGATGGATTTCTTATCCTCCGTGACCGGATTTATATCAGATGTGTGTAATAATGCTGAAAGCATTAACTTTGAGGATATCATAGATGAATATGAAACAAAAAGTAACGTAACTTATTCGTTATTTATTATGCAGCCTAGGTGCCTCCTTAATCAGACCCTTATTCAATGTGGATGATGATTGTTATGTGGGCCTCACGGGTGATGGACACTATGTAAGTTATCCGATCCAGTCATTCCTATATTTCAGAGTTCCCGCATCAGCCCTGATGTCAATAAGTCTCTGAAACTACAGGAGTCATCATCAGTATACCCAAAGTTAATTAACTTTGTCTATCCTTCAGAAGACGAAATCAAAGCACATTGCGATACAGTATATATAACAGCTTCTACATCTGTGAACAAACCAATAGACCTTACTAGTCCAGACTTCGATGATAGTTTTACTGGGTTTGATTTAACTCAAATTATGAATGTTTCCGAAGTTACTAGTTGTAAAAGTGTAGACTTTAGTTTAGATTCACATTTAACTAGTTTCAAGACAGGTAAAGGGGATTCTGTGACTTTGATGAATTCATCATCTCGGAAGTTTGCTCGAACACTTGTGGACTCGTTAAACATTTGTGATGATGATGTGAATGTGGAGAAGAGTCATGAGAACCACGACTCACATTTCACTGGCTTCAAGACAGGTAAAGGGGATTCTGTGACTTTGATGAATTCATCATCTCGGAAGTTTGCTCGAACACTTGTGGACTCGTTAAACATTTGTGATGATGATGTGAATGTGGAGAAGAGTCATGAGAACCACGACTCACATTTCACTGGCTTCAAGACAGGTAAAGGGGATTCTGTGACTTTGATGAATTCATCATCTCGGAAGTTTGCTCGAACACTTGTGGACTCGTTAAACATTTGTGATGATGATGTGAATGTGGAGAAGAGTCATGAGAACCACGACTCACATTTCACTGGCTTCAAGACAGGTAAAGGGGATTCTGTGACTTTGATGAATTCACCATCTCGGAAGTTTGCTCGAACACTTGTGGACTCGTTAAACATTTGTGATGATGATGTGAATGTGGAGAAGAGTCATGAGAACCACGACTCACATTTCACTGGCTTCAAGACAGGTAAAGGGGATTCTGTGACTTTGATGAATTCATCATCTCGGAAGTTTGCTCGAACACTTGTGGACTCGTTAAACATTTGTGATGATGATGTGAACGTGGAGAAGAGTCATGAGAACCACGACTCACATTTCACTGGCTTCAAGACAGGTAAAGGGGATTCTGTGACTTTGATGAATTCACCATCTCGGAAGTTTGCTCGAACACTTACAGACCCTTCCATTTCTGGTGATGTTTTCGTAAAGCTAGAAAAGTGCTACGAGTCTTATGATTACAATGCCCATAATGTCAAAGATAATTTATTACTGTCTGAGGAACAAATTGCTGAGGTGCATGATGATTTTGGGGACTCATCTCATAATTATATTGACTCATTTAGTGGATGTTTTGATACTCAATTTGACTTATCATTTGAACGTTCTGAAGGTGGTATTCACATGATGGAAATTAATATATCGTAAGTCAGTGTCACCTATTTGGTTGAACTCTTTGTTTAATTTTTGTAATATAGTTGTTATGTTATAGAAATCAATGTTAAATTTTAATGGATTATATACAACTTCGACTTCCATATCTTATTTTGTCTAAACTTTATTCGAGTTTGTCATTTCGTTTGGTCGTTTTAATTTCTCTACATTAAATATTTTACATGTTTTCTCTTAGTTAACTTAAATTCATTGTGTGTAAACGTTTAGTTTCTTTTTAAGATAATATTTCGAGGTGTATCTCATCATGGGAGGAATAAATAATACTTTCGTGTCTTTTGACTGGTTTTTCTTAGTGTTATCTTAGTGATTATATCATTTATAATTATCAAATTCTCCAGAAGTTCACGTCAAAGGATAATTTAAAACAGTTCACTTCAAGAATTGGTTTAATATTAATTCTGAAGATATTTTTTAGAGAATAACTTTTCGATCTTTAATTGATTTCAAACTTTTTTCTCAAATTTTAGCACAACGAACGTTGTTTCTGTATGAATGATAACAGCCCAATGTCTTCCAGATTATCTCTGCTGCGTAGACTATAAAGTTCACGCATATTTTAGGCGTAGTTTTCATCACGAACGGAAACCAACTGGAGAAAATATGACCTGTTTGGTTAACCAAGTTTATATAGGGTTAATAACTCACTGATAACATTAGATGATGAATGCATTTTCATCGTGAACTGACTGAAGTTAGTATCGTTTGTTACTAAGTTCCGACTCAGTAGTCTAAATGTATTGTGATTATTTAAGTTAGAGCTGTTTAAATAAAAACTGTTTCACTAACATTTAACATGTTAATAATACCCTCAAATAGTCGTATATATATAATGGTTTGGGTTTTCATGTTTTTGCTATTAAAGACCTGCAATCGACCAGTCTCCAAAGATATGTGTTTTGACCAAGTTGCTTGATATTCCCATCAAGTGTTGGTTTTAAATCATTTAATGCAAGAATTTGATTATTTAACTTGAAAGATACATTTGATTGAGATTATATTTCTATCAGAAACTTTTATGTTATTTGTTCAGTGTTTTAAATTTGTTTTGGTCATTTTTACTTCATCTCTAACACGTATAAATTACCTTTTTTTATTTAATTCATCTAGTATGTTAATGACGAATTCGCAATTAAATACTACTATATAATTAGATGTCGCCGAACAAAATTTTTCATTTTTTTGTGTGTATGGGGTTCCCCATTTCAATATTTTTGATAGTCATATTCATATTTTTACTAAGTGAATATTTATTTCATTCCAATTAGATTAGATGTGGAACGTGAAAAAGCACGGGTTGACCAACAAAATCTAATTGCACATAATCAATCAATTCCATCACCCAGTCAACATGTGCTCTCTACATCTGATACTTCATTGAATACTACATTATATGGACTATTGTGGAATATACGTAGAAGATATTATGGGACTGAGATATTAAATTCGACAAATGACCAATCACTTTTAAAATGGAAAGTATTACTTGCTGACTATGCCAATCATCAAAAGTTATCTGTTTCTTCTACACCACTTTACTTACCGAAATATTTAAAGTTTTCAAATGATACTCATAATAAATGGTCTTTACAAACTGCAGATAAACTTTACTGGTTACTGGATATGAAGCATATTATAGATACAAAATGTGAAAGCAGTCTTCCTATTTCTTACAAATTCCATGATTTTATTTTGATTCCTGATAAGTTTGGATGTGTTGGCAGACAAGAAATTATCAAGTAAGTGTCATATTCGCACTCAAACGTATTTTCAATATCCACTGAAAAAGTCCTAAAATACAAAATATGTGTAACTAATTCATGTGTCAATGTTTGATAGAAGTAGGTTTAATTTATTGATAAATTATGGTTATAACTCTATTTCATTAAGTTGAAACCACATAAGATTGCATTTTTTAAATTTCACTCCGAACCACCTGTTTTTAATGATGATTTTATTTGAAGGACGATAACTTAAAGCTTATCGGTTGTACATATATCTTCTGTATTAGCTCATAGCTAAATAGATCTAGGATCGTTTCTGGGTTACTGTTCGCAGATCTACAATCAATTTTCGGTTTTATTTCACTGATCAGGATTATCATGTGAATTTAGTATTAAGACTAAAGGTTGTTTAAACAGTTCCAGTCAAGTTAAACTACATAACCACACCAGTTATTTCTTGTGTGTTATAAGAAATGAATCACTATCATTCAAAATGATGGTATTTATCAACAAACTGGGTTTTTTAGTTTAAGGGGTTGGTGAGATCATTGAATCTGCAATTTAAAATTGCGAACTGACTGTTGTTAGACAAGCATCTGAAACCAGGAAATATTAAACATCTGTTTTGTCCCAGTACAGAGTTCTAATGAGAAAAGGTGACCAGTGGAGCTCACTCCTATGGGGTATGCGACAAATATCATGAATGATAATCTATGATGGTTTTGCAGTATCGTAAATCGGCTGAATTTAGAAGTGCAAACAACTGAGTGTCAGCTCAACAGTCTAATGGTTAGACAGTCATCTCGATATCTGACTGTTATGGGTCCGATCCCTGGCATAGTTGTGAATGCATATTACCAAGTAATCTGATACTAAGTTAAAACAGCTTATCTAGTGCTTCCTGATTCAAGATGTTTGTATAATTAAAGTTAGTTCGTCATGTATGACTAAAATTTGGTTTTTTAAAATTTCATTTGCATGTTCAATAGGCTATAAAGGCCTCAGTCGAATCATGTGATTCTACCCCGCTTTTTTGTATTCAGATGCCCTTTATTTTGTCACATCATTCATATGTCAAGTTGCCTTTAGACACTTCAGTTTTTTATCCGATATGTCTTTGGTTTGAACCCGTCAATCAATTACTTAATAATAATCAATGTGAGATCTGGCGTAAATGTACTATGGTCTGATTTGCAACTTCACATCAGTTCAGATAGATGCAATTAATAAGACGTATATCAATATGGTCCCAGTGATGTCAAAAAAGACTGTATTTAGATAGTACTATTTAATGGTTTAGTAATGTGTTATGCACACCTTAACACATAAAACTGTATTTGATTACTGGGTTAAATTGTTTCATATATTTTTTATTGGAAAAGTATAGTAGTATGTTGATTTACTTTCATGTTTTAATTTTACAAGATCGGAAATTCATTCTGTTTCATTCTTTGGTAAACAATTTCAGGACTAGTGTAATATCTTGGTGGAGCGTTTATGGAACATGTTCTTTTTAACATAAAAGTATTTTTAAATGAGAATTACTCGATCTTTTATTGAGTTTATATTCTATCCAGTAAATTACATTTTTATGTACGATTTCGTGTTAATAGACTTAGAAAAAATAATGAAACGTTGCATTAATTAGCTGTTGAAGTATCCTGACTTACACTACGAACAATCCTCCCCAAACCTTAAATTATAAATGTATACAGAAAAAATACTACTGAGGTTATTTTCATTTATTCATTATATTGAATTTATGTATGCTCAAGATTCACTTATTTACTTAATTATAACAAATAGAATTCCTGGTACAAAATAATACCCCACACAAAGTGGAATATGGACGTTGTGAGAAGAAAACAGATGAAAGGGAATTCATGCAATCAACCAATAGATAAACAGAGATAGTACTCTTTAAAAGGTACTGTTCAATTAGGAAAAAATCCAAGCGATATTTCGTCTAGTTAAGAATGTTCATTTCACTTCTATAAAGAATGGATGGGAAACCTATAGCTAAATCACCGGCTTCTATTTTGAGACAAATTGGATAACATTTTAAGCCACTCAGTTACATGACCTTAAGTACCCCAACGAGAGTTACCCATCGTATTCAGATATACTTCATATTACGGCTAGTGTGAGATTGCATCTCTTGTCCCAGTTTCACTTTCTTTTGTATCAAATCTTTGTGTCAAAGTGTCGTTGAGATCCCTGAAGAAATTCTCTTACTTAAGTTTGTGCATCCTACTTCTTTACACAAATGATGATGACACAATAAAATTATAATTTAAATCCTTCCCTCTAAATAGTGTATGTAGACATTAGATTATCAGCTATATGTTAATTGTTGTAAGTGCTTTTATGTTATACATTTTGGATTTGCTCGACTGAGTAGTGACATTGCTCACTTTAATACAGTTGATGTAATCCACATCCTGGTGTATATGTCTGAACATAATCCATAAAGGTGTTTCGTAAATTGAAATACTTCATTTTTCCTTTATTTTTAGTTCATTTTTGAGCTGTCGTAGAATTTGTTCAAATGTAATTACCCGTGGTTGGATTGAAAACCATTACTTACAAATAATGTGGAAAGTTGGTACAATTGCTTTACTTTACAGTGATTTATGCGCGACGTTACTTAGTGACTATTGTGCACCGATTCATGTCCTAAATGAATTACGCTATCGTTATGATCGTGAAATAGAAACTTGTCAAAGGTAATTTCGCTTCAGAAACAATTTGCACCTGATTTCTGTCTTCGTAAAGTGATGTGTTATTAATAAAATAATTCAAGGAAACTGAATATTTAAGGAAATTTAATTTAACTTCACGTTCCACTGAAACTTTTTTTTCAGTTTTGGGCTGTGGATATTGTTGAGTTTCCCTGAAATCATGAACCAGTCAATGTTAGACAACCATTGAAAACCTGGAAACACTGGACGGCCGTTTCGTCTTGGTATAGGGCTCTTCAGCAGCGCGTATCCATGAGAAGTCGTGACCAGTGGAGTTCAGCCGTTTCGGGTGTGAGGCATTTACCAACCAAAGACCATAGAAGATGGTTTATCAGCATCATGGATTGTTTGAAGTTACACATTGACATTGTTGGATGCCGGCTCAGTGATTATGTGTTGTCAGTCTACTTGAATGTTATAATCTTACTATAACACGAATATCTCTTAGCTTATAATGTGCTTCAGGTAGTTGGTCAGTAATCTCTAAATGATTTTCGTACTGTTGTCTAACTACGCTTGTATTCTCTATGTATTTCCTATAGACCAGCTCTTCGAAAAGTCATCGAACAAGACGATACACCGGCGCGGCGTCTTATCTTGTGCGTCAGTCGCATAGATATTTTTGACCAATGTGTAAAGGTTAGATTTCTTCTAGTTAATTTCGATGACTCATTATATATGAAAATTATATTTGAAATAATCTCAGCGATTAAAATTTAAATAGTTCCAACGTTTCGTCCAGCTAATTTGTCCGGACTTCTTCAGCGTAGCAAACAAAATCATCAAAAAATATATAGCTTTTTAACAATCAAAACTATACTGTGTTAAACCAGTCAATGTTGGAATTATTTAAATTTCAATCGCTGAGGTTATTTCAGATATGATTTTCACATATAATGACTTTTCTATACTCGGCGCCCAATTTCTGTCAAATTATTCTTTCTAATCATGACGAATATTCGTATAAATTCCAACGACTGTTATCATCTAATCATTCTGATTGCTGCTTAAATGTCCGGATTAGTGGTTGTTACTTTGATCTAGTTTTCTCAAGTCTTCCCTATCGAATAAACCACTTAAAGTATACTATGTCGCTGATCCAAACATTCTTCCTATTTTAGCCCGCTTGATCAGGTTATTTGATTATGGAGTCCGTTTAGAATTAGTTCACTTTAGGACTGTCTGACCAATAACTCAGTGGCTATAAAATCTTAATTCTGATTGGTTCAACGAGCTTCTTCTACTCTAATGGCCAGTCTGAAGACGAACAGAGCAAACAGATTAACTTGTTATTATATTGTCCTCTATTATCATCCTCACTCAAGTCATGGGATTGTATACAGCAATTGCATGGCAAGGGATGTGGTAAAAAACAGCATTGTTCACCTATACACGTTGTTCTAAAGCTCAATGTTTACCATCAGGTTTTGAATAGTTCGCATTGCACTTAGGAATCTAAAATTCATTTGCCCTGTCGAGTGAAAGAAATGTGATACATAGAACCAAGTTGGAAAATGAGTATTAGAGCTTTCAAACGTTTGTTTGCTATACTAACTGTGTCAGAAAACCTCTCGAAACATTATTCGGGGTCATATTCTGTTATTAAAATGCGGATACTAGGTCCAGATGTGATTGGGTGTTCATTTTACTTCATCACCCAATAAAATGAATTGTCGTGGTTCACTGGTATTTAATGGCTATCTTTAATGCTTCGTAGATACAAAAATTTCAGTATAACTGTATATTATAACCCCTAAGCCATTTTTGGTTCTTCGCATGAAATTCAAAGTGAAGAACACTTATCTTGGATCGCATAAAAAGCCCAATGTAAATACCTTTGCATAACACTCAAAACGTTTAAAGTCGATAAAAAATTGTGTATTTGCTGTTTTAGGGTGAGAATGGCAGTATTAAACACTTTAACTGTTTTATTTAATTTGTCACCACTGCTCGAACCCAGTACCTTTCACTTCGAATGCCGACACATGATTCACAATAGGACTACTCAAAAACACTTATAAATTAAATCAAATGCACACATGTTGCACAACTGAGTGGATAACTTATTGGTATTTGGAAGGTGTTGGGTTCAAATCGCAGAGCGACATCAACCCTAGGATGCAAGTAAATCCAGTTATAGAGTTCTAGATAAGACGAAACGCGCGACCTGGATTCCACTGTTAATTACAGTCCACCTCTTTTATAAAACGTGTGACTACATGGAAGCAATCCGCACAGTATACACATATACTAGCTAGGACCGCTGAAAATTCAGTCAAGAATATCAACAAAGGAATAACTCGAGAAACCCTTCTATAGTATCTGTCTATTTCTTCCCATGTAGATTGTACATAGAGTGTTAATTAGTAGCTTTGTTTCAGATTACTTTATTCTTAATAAACTTCCAAACAAACCGCTCTATTAGTGGTTCACTGAATGATAGGTGAATTGATGAAATAGGAAACAGATAACGATTTCCATTCACAACATCCCCATATCGTTATATTATTACTCCATCTCGCTTAGTGTTCAGCAAATTTGTTAATGAAGGTTTTCGCTGGTTTTGAATTTTCTATAGGACTGTTTATGATTCTGAGTAATCTCAAGTGCTAATATATTCCCACTCGGATAAATGAAATTATGTAGCGACATTTTTTTCAATACTAACACCGGAAAGCTGATAATAAGCCTTGAAAAACTTATAAGCTTCCTGAACCCACTATGCTTTTTCGAGTTTCATTACTTTTGTAACGACATACTTCTTATTCATGCATACTCTTTTCTTATTTGCTGAAGATTATCTTCAAAGCGTCACTGTAATATAATTACACTGAAACTGCAATAAGTCTTAGGACGATAAAGACCTTTTTACTGTGTCTCCGCATACAGTTATCCATAATCAATTCGAGTCAAGCGTTTTGTTAGAACTCAAACGGACTGTGAAACACGACAGTCTCTAGTTTCGTTTTAATTTACGTGCCTATTGACTGTAGTTTAGTTAAATTTGAGTCCCACGGAAAACTAATCTAGAAGCCTTGATAATGATCACAAACGTTTTTCCATTCAATTTGCTGTTTCACGTCATCATAGCTGGATAAAATCCATTTAAGAAGGGTGGAAGGAGTCTGAACTTTCATATTAATAGTAGTAGGAAGCCAAACTTTGGAAGAAAAAGTCGAGGAAATCTCTGTTGTGAAACCTTACTAAGTCGATCGAGTGATTACATTTCAGTCATATATGCTCTTGGTTTCAAATATAACATCCATCTTGGATCGAAATTGCTAATTTCTTATGATAAGCAAATGTGCTATACAATCGCATATTCAACGTAAATTTTCGCAACCTCATAGTGCACTCCGTATCTGTTTTGTTGAAAGTTGTATCCTGTCCACACATTATGGCTCCCTATTTATCGTTAATATTATTATTTTTATTTCAAAGAAGGCTTGTCTGACAGATGGCTGGTATCAAATTGCTTGGCTTCCAGATCCCATGCTTACAACACTGATTACTTCTGGCAAAATTCGTGTTGGTTCGAAGCTAGTAACTGCTGGTGCTGAACTAGTCGTAACCAATCCATCATCTACTAACAATCAGCCTAAAAGGAAGTGCTCTTCAGGTGATGAGCAAATTGATGAATTTAAGCATTTATATGGAGATGACGGTATAGCTGTTGGAATGGCTTTGAAGTTGCATGGAAATTCTACACGACCTGTTTCTTGGTGTTCACGCCTAGGATTCACTACAAAACAACCAAGTTCGGGTGCTGGCTTGTATCCAGTTCCTCTATGTACTCTCAGTTCAGATGGAGGTATCTGTAGCTCAATTCGAGTAGTAATCCAAGTATGTTTCTGTCTTTTTTTCTGCTTAAATACTTTTCACTTCACTAAATTAATTTGTTGATTAGTTGAAATGGTTAATTATTCCCCCCAATAAATTATGCTTTTAGGTATTTTATACTTTGAGTCTCATAGTCCATGTTCTTCTGACGATCTAGATTACATATTTGTTAGTGAATCAATAATTTTCTTTGCCAAATGCAATAACATAACATAGAATATGTCTCGACTTTATTGCTCAACGGTAAAACATACTTTTTAAACATAGATCGTCTGGTCTAATTTTCAGTTATTCTCAGGAAAGTTATTCATCTGCGAATTGTATATTAGCTTACATTGTAGGTCTTTTCCTTACAACTAAATACCATCTCTTTATGTTCAGTAAGGCGACCATATTCCCTGAACTACATTATAGTGATACATACGTATGTTCGTTATGGAGCTATAAGAATTTGGTATGGACACTAGGGGGTGTTTATTTGTGAGTATGTCCAACTTTTAAAATAGTGATTTCTTTATGTTATTTTAAAAGTATTGTCAGACAACAAACAACTGTGATGGTTCATTAAATTTTCATACATGATTTTGTTTAAATAACCAAATTATTTTGTGGATCTAATAAAACAAGTCAAAACAATCGGCAACGTTGATGATTATTTCTAATTTTAATAAAGTTTTCAAGTAAATATTTACTCGTTGATACATATTCGAATTGACACTGGTCATTAAATATTCTTTTTTATTCAACGAACAGTAGAAAGATTCAACTGGTTGTTTTGCATGTAACCCAGCGCTAAAACTGAATCGGCCTGTAGTGATTGAACTACAACCATTGTGAAAACTAGTAATATGAATCATATTTTAACTAACAATTCTGACAAGTCATACTCTTAGTTTGCTACTTAAATAGGATTAGACATCGAAATAAGAAATTGTCAAAATTGACAATGAGAGAAGTGTTAATAACCACCTCTTGTTATACAGAGACGGCTTAGAATGAAATAAGGTTGATGCAAATTGAAATGCGTTTATTTTTTTTTACATGTTAATATTTGTTGCGTAAATAAACTATTTGCACTGGTTAGACGAATAATTGACAGGATCAAAATAGAACAATGTAAAGTGATGTATTTACTTCAAATTATTTAAATTTACGAACAAAAATGTAAACGAATATCAACGTTTATCTTTTTTCTGAATTCTAACTATTTTACGTTCACTTTGATGATCCAAACTAATGACCAGCAATTTCATCGATTTCAGATTAGTTTGACAGTGAAGATTAGAGATTCTGAAATTCTGGTTCATAATATGGTGAATTATTGTCTGATGTAATAATTTTATCATACCTTGGTACATTCATCAACCACTTATCTATGAGTCACACCAGTTATTGTAATCAAAGATTACTGGTTTTTATGCCTTTAGTAAGTGATATTTTGATGAAATTAGAGGCATAAATTGTTAAATATCGTATTTGAAGTTACCTGAAATCAATCTGATCAATGCAATTCCAATGACCAATTATCTTTATGATTCTAATACTTTTTGATTTTTAGTATACATTTGTCTGCTTTCATAACTTCATTCAAATGTGCGACACTCGTTTTGATCAGCATTCCGATATCCAAGAATTGTTTAACAATTCGGGCTTAATTCAATGGAGAGTAAGTGGCCTGCCTACAAGACTGATTCCCTTCAACTGTCTGTTTCTTTTTCTGTTAAGAATTAGTACATAATCGTTTTATTACATTAGATGAAAAGCTTATCCCTCTGTCTAATGAGATCTTTTCGGGGAACGGAATTCGAGTCAATAATCCAGTCTCGTTAGTAGTTGGTACTTAGCCACGTCCTACCATTCCGTTCATTTGTAAATCAACATTCTATTCATCCACTTAACAATCTGATACTCGTTCAACAAACACATCCCCTTTAATAAATTCTAGAACTGAGTTTTTACTGTTATTTTTTCTAATATTTAATATTAATAGTAATAGCACCTCATATACTGGTGATCATTTCAATACTGTGTCTTTTCATTTCCTGCAAAAGCGTCGATATTCCCTACAATATATGGAGACACTAGAGGTCCCGGAACAAAATGCAGATACATCAACTCTTTTGACACGTACAAATTCTGGTCCAGATGAACTGTCTTCAAAGTTTCGTTTAAATCGCCGTCGAATTTTTCGCAGTGAACGGGCTGAGGAGGCGGAAGTTAGACTTTATGAAGCGCGCAGACTCAAAGTTATTGACGGAGCCTTGGATAAACTTGTAGTTAATGATCCAAGTATGCTTTCGATTGTAAATTCCTATTTAAAATTTATTTTCCTAAAATTGGAGAATCGTAATTATTCTGATGTCAATAATATGAGCTGTTTTCCGATTGGTCTCCTGTTCAGATACATTAGAAATCCTAAATGGTCACTGAAACCAACTATTAATTCTTATCTAATTGATGACATTTTTGAAGACCTAACATAGTAAATATTGAAGTGTTGAACTAAAAATCGTCAACTTTTCTATATTTATCACACATATGTAACAAAAAGACAAGTATGATCTTAAAATAGCTTTAAATACATCCAGTTTTAAATATAAATGAATTAAACACCACCAACTAATCAGGTGGTTAAAGATCTCAGTTATTAGATTTCAATATACAAGAAAAGTTGTAAAGCCTTAAGAATACTTTGTTCTATCACAAAAGTATGTGAAGCAGTCAACACGGTTGTGGCATCACTAAACAAAAGCAAGCGACGGCGTAATGGTTCTTGATTTTCTAGTAATTTTAGTATTCTTTATCATCACGAACTGATTTTAGTGAGACTTCCATTGAAAACCCGAAAGCATCGGACGGCCCTTTCGTCCTTGTGTGAGACTCCTCAATGGTGTGCATCCACGAATCAAAATTAGGACCTTCGGTCTCGCACATGAACTGAGCCGGCTTTCGACGGTGTTAATGTAATTGCTTAACTGATATCGATATGTGTATTGAAATTTTATTCTAAAACGTTAGCATGTGTGTTCGATTGTATAATATATGCATTTGCACGTAGCAAACAACAGTTGACTACTTTTTGGACGTCATATTATGTATGAATCGAATGCTTCTATACTAGTTACTTTGTGTTCAGTATTTTTGCACAATGAGGCCTCGGTTTAGTGTTTTAGCATCTGATACGACTCACCAAGTACAGATTCATATGTTCGGCTTTGAGGCACAATTTATATGTAAAGGCTACCTGAAGTGAAGTAGGTTAGGCGGGACTCGAATCTGCTATCTAATGGTTGGCAATCGAATGCGTTAGTCACTAAGCCACCAGCTCACACTATAGCATCGAAATTTCAACTCTTGATTTACGGGTCCAAGTTTCGTCGTAACTACTTCAATTTAGCTAACCAGACATTGTCAGTGATTCCCATCCACAAAAGTTTACTCCATATTAGATTACATAATGCAGGTAGTCGGTTGGTGTATTGTTGTTCTAATTAAAGGTAAATATTTCAAGTATTTACTAAACAGATTATTCTTCAACGTTTAGTGTATAGTTTAACTAATTTATTCTACTTGTTCAAAACATAAAAGTGATATCTGACAACTTCAATGAATGTATTTGATTGATTGAATATTCAATAAACATTAACGAATTTATCATATTCAATCATTCTGAAGATGGTGCTTAGTCGTCTACTAATGAATTGATTACTTTATTTGTACCTGCTTTTTTATGTATTGACTAGGCAAACGTCGAATTCAACCTACACATGAACAATTGATAGCTTTGGGTAATGATGGTGAAGCATTGTTACAAGCAATTCTAAATGCTCCAGATTCTATGGAAGCTGAATCTAATTTAACTCAAGTACAACGTGATGCTATACAACATTATAAAGAGTCTATCATTCATGATGCAATTATTGAAAATGTCCCACCTAGACAGGTTAGATGACAAATTTTTATAATACACTTTTTATATGTTCTCTTATTTCTGCTTTTTTAAGGGATGTTTTTATGTCGTTTTTATTTGGTAAATTTATAATTGATATCTTAATTTCATTGGATAGTATGCATTTTGTTTACTGACCGTTTATTTTTCCATTTCAATAGATTACTCCTCTTTTGCGTTTAAGAGTTTCAGGAATTCATCCTAGAGATATTGCTAGTGGTTATAGTGAGTTAGAAATTATTACTCTTAGTATTGATTTTTTGTATCTTTTGTTATGTGATGATCATTGATTCAGATCACTATATTGTCACGTATAATATGCTTTGGTACTCAATTAAAAAATCTAAATTATATAATAAAATTTTCCACTATTCTCGATTACTTTTTAACTCTAGCCCGTTCCCTTCTCTAAAAGGTTAAGAGAAGAAAGGAAATTCAAAAAATTTGTTCGTTTCCATCAACAATAATGATACAATGGGAAACATGTGTGTATTCATAGTATGTTTTGAAAATTTTCTTAAGAATCTAGAATTAAGGATATTTATAAAACATCAAATTATCATTTCAATCCATTCATCATTTTCTTGATTCTTTGAAACAACTGTTTAATATATTCCATCACTTAACCGTAACTCACAGGCTGTTTTCAAATCTCACTATGACTATCATTTCCTCCAAGATTTCAAGTATACTCTGCTGATGAGTGTCAACTAGTATGAGACCCAAGTTCGGAATTTCCTGCCGACTAATTCCAACCACTTAACATAACTCAGTATACATATCATTATATATCTAATTCCATTCATAGGGTAATGCAAATGCTTAACTGGTTACTACCAGTAATTTCAAAGTACAATTAATTACTTTGTTATGATTTTTTCTGTATTTCTCTCACAGTCCTATAAAAACGTTGTCCTTAATTCTGGTCATCTCACTCCAATATTCCGCACTCTACATTGACTAGAATACAGTCACCTCTAATATCGAATACCATTCACTTTTCAAATTTGCGGCGAATATTTCAATAATGAATGACTACCAGAGTCATTTTTCGGGAAAATTGTTTACAATAGCTATTTTTACTTGATTTTTTTTAGTTATTGTATATTACTGATGTTGAATATTATTTCATATTAACTCTGTGATTATTTATTTCGTTGAAGTGGAAGATAATTTTCGTATAATAAATAGACTTATTTATTTCTTAATGGTTAGTCGTCTTTCAAATATACTGAATTACTACATGGGTGATTTATGTGCTTTTTGGCTGAAATCTTTCCAACAATCGTGTAGACACATTCGTATCGATTATTACAATTGTGCATTCTGAATTTATTTTAATTAGTCCAATGAATTGCGTAATAACTGCTACATTATATATATTACCTCTTAAAGATATTGGCACGATTAACGTTGCTGTTAATGTTAATGTAATGTCATTACAATTTAAATAAATTGTAGGCGCTTTGATTACTTTATGGAGTCCAACGGATGAAATGTTATCAGTTTTGAAAGAAGGAGAGATTGTTGAATTTTATCGTTTGCAAGTAAGTGACAAAATTATCTTCCAGAAATGAAGTAAGCCATTGATTTGATATTACCTTTGTATTTTAATAATTTAAGGTTTGGATATTCTGCTGTTATGATAGACAAGAATTCTTCCCAATAGTCAAGTTTTAATTCATTGACGATATCCTGATATCGTCTATCTGATTGTAGTATAAACTGTTTACTTTCCTGTTAATAATTTATAAATAATCATGTTATTTTATTAGATAAAAAGAACTTTTTTGTTCTAGAATTATTCAGGGACTTAAATTAATGGTTCAATCTTATGATCGGGCGTGCCACGCCGTGTTAATTGACATTTGATTCATTCATTTGAGCATTTCAAAATTTGTTCGTCCGATCCGGAAAAAATATATATATATATATATATATTGATACCACATGGCTGCCTAAATCCGAATTGAATAGTTGTTGAATGTTAAATGATTTAAGAATTAAGCCATCTCTCTTTATGCACTTACGAAATATTTAGCTTTTAAGTCTCCTAGTGTCAGGATGTTCAGCAGATTTTATTATAATACCAGTAAGGTTAAGAAATTTTCCTGCTTTCTATTTTTTCACTTATCTATATAATTTTATATAGTTAGTCTCTTTATATAGTGTTTCTCTTCTAGTTCTGTAATATTAATGACCAAAAGAAATCCCATGTATAAATATTTAACTTATTTATCCATTAATTACTTTTTTTCTTGATCATACGTTTTTTAGGTGTCGGCTACACGTGCAAACGATCCATTTGTATCTCCATCAACTGTTCCGGGATTTATCAAACCTATAGGCGTTAATATACCTTCTGGTTTTGTATTGAGCCTTTCTGGTGGTCGTACAACACGCATTTTATCATTAGGTCATATTTCCAACTTGAAAGGAATCGTTTCTATTGATAATATTTCTCGTGTATATCATCCAAGAGTAAAATTAAGTGTTTCTGAAGCCTATCAAACGATTATTCAGGCGGACAAATCTACGAGTTCATTTAACAAAGGTATAATTCTTTGTTGAAATAGTAATGTTAAATAAGTGTCCTTGCCTGAATAATGAAGATACGTGTTCGTCGCTTGTTTGTTCTATAATCCAACAGATTTTAAAATAATGGATAATTTGTTACAGTATTTATAGTATCATATTTTAACGATTTCTCAGGAAAAATCATATTCCTGGCTGCCTGTGTGTATTGATATTAATGATAGCATATATATGTTGTATTACAAAATTTAGTATAAATGTAAATGTTAGTTATACACTTGAATCGCGTATAAGATTTCTAAATGTAGCTACCGTATCTCTGCTCCCATTCAATATTATAAGACGAAGATTATCAGAACTATGTTTTGATACTCTTCGTCTTCTTATAACACTATCGAAGTATATCAGAGGGACTAACTGCTTCAATATTATAAGCTTATTTCACTTATTTCTCATTTTTTCCCAGACTATATTTTAGATAATTGTTTTTGGTATCATTTAAACTATATATGAGGTACTTATTAGGTTTTCTCCTCCATTGTAATTATTTTTTAGGAAATCGTGAAGTTGATTTACGTTGTTTGATTATAGCAATTTATCATACTCCAGTGCATTCGAATCCATCTTACAAAAGCTATCCATCTGATGTTAAACAACAGATGGACCATCCAAGAACAATCGATACTCCTTTCAAATATCCTTCTTCTGATGTCGATTGCGTTTATGCAGTGGATCCGAATTGTAAATCAGAAACATGTTTATCTGTGATCAAATTTTGGGATGGTTTACAGGTTGGTTTCACTGAAAGACCAAGTGTTAATAATATACCTATTTGTTGTTTAATGATCAGCTGGATGTGTTTACCATTAAAAAAATCCTTTTCGATTTATTTGAACAGTAAAATGTGATATCTCAGAGTTTAGCCCTGCATTTTTCTAAGAATCTTAATTGCTTAAGGTGTTAATCCTGTGAATCTTGTTAAAACTAGAGGAACACAGGCACAACTTCTGTAAACTTTTTTTCATGGAGTTTGAAAATTAGTAAACAAGACTTTTTCAATCCGTAATCATCAATTCAGTCAATACATAGCTCAGGTATTCTATTTTAGAAATCAATCGTTGGAAACGTCTTGAATATTATAAGTAATATGTTTAGTGGCTAGCAGTATGATCCAGAACGCACGTTTCTTCTTACGTGGTACTCGTCAGCTAGATGAATGTACATTGCAGATTCGATGCTCACTCCAGTGCTCAAACCTAGTACCATTTACTTCAAATGCTGGAGTTCATGATTCTACATCTCATGAATTAGTTAATATATGTGTAATCTTTTCGCTCTTTTTAGGCTCTTCATTTAATGGACATAGTTCAAATTGGTCGTGTTTTATGTTTCACCGACTTGCAGTTACGTCATTGTCAAACAATTACTGCAACGTCTAAATTAAATAATCAGCCTTCGCGTAAAATTCCCCTTCTTACTTTACATTATACATCTGCTAGCAATGTTACAGTTGAAAAACCAATCGGTCGACGTTCCAGTCGTACTGCATCAACTAATGAGCCAGTAAGTTGACTGTATATCTTTAGCTTCGTTGTTTAACTGTCACGTCAAATAATTAATATTTACAGTCATGTATATCACATCATATTCAGGAAAGCACACTAGGTATGTATGTTTACTGTTTAGTGAATCAACTGATTTTTGAACAATTAAGAAATGAATTTACACTGTCCATCAAAATATTCTTAATGATAAATAAGTTATGCTGTCTTTGTATGAATACTATCAGCTAAGCACAATTCATTGATAAGTATAAGCACTTTACTGATGCAAGAAGGCTTAGTACAGTCAATAACTAACTTTTCCATTAAATGATGACTCTTCAGGAAGAGATTTTTTCGTGATTGTAGATTGAAGCCATTTATTTTGTCCCAAGACTATAACAATTACTAAGTATTATGGTCAATAAATAAAGTTTGCTAAATATTTCTACATATTTAAACCGAGGGCTGTATTTTACTCGATATCCCGAAGAGAATCAAAAGTCTTCCTTTTCATAGAAATCCTATCTAATTTACGATATGGTGTAATAGTGTTTTGAATTCTTTACTGTATTCAGCTCTTCTGGGCCCTACAATCTATTGAATTGTTTTGGCTTAGTTCCAAGGTTTTAGAAATATTAATTAAGCAGTTAACTTTGTCTCACATTCCCAATACATTAACTTCATCGAACGTTTCAGGATTAATTTATTTAACGTCTTTGACTGGAGTTAGCCCTTTCTTCATAGTATTCGCGTCATATCACCAACAAATATCCCATCCTATCAAACCTAAATCAATCAGGTTAGGTGAGTTAAATGTCAATGACTATGTGTTCTATGGTCATTATCAAGAATGACTACCTCAGCATACTTCAATCATTTCAATAGTGAATGTTTTCTGTTGATATGTTTTCATTTTTATCGTTTTCAGGATCCTACTGTTGTATCCTGTTTACAACAAGTTTTAAAGGACTTTCTGTTTTCAAAATCAGGATATAAAATAGATTTACAAATATCTAATTCTCCTTTGAATCATAGCAAATCCTTAACTTCTACATCGAATACATCACACTCTACTGGTGTTGGTTTGTCATCATTATTACGTGGTTCTATTGGTCGTGCACAATCAACTCCTGTTCACAATACAATAGGAACTCCAAAAGTTTCCACTTCACTCGAAAATTCTTCCTCTATTTTGAATATAACTTGTCCATCACCAACTGAATCAATGCTTAAACAAGGTCTTCCACTTAAAGAACAAGTATGTTATTTAAAACAATTAGTCCATTTGATAAATTTCGATAATGCGATGAGAAGACGAAGTTTATCAGAATTATATAATTCTGATAAACTTCGTCTTCTCATCGCATTATCGGAAGTATGTTATTCACAATATATGGAACATTATTTTACGTAATAATTTTTGTTGAGGAATATAACAGATATCATAACATAATGTTCTAAGGATAAAAGATTAATAAATCCTTAAAGCAAAGTTAGGAAAACTGTGGAAGATTAGAATTGTGTGCGGTATGAAATCGTTCAGAAATATTCATAAGATCGGCTGGGAGTGTAATAATGTAATGCTATGTCAATTAAACATTGCTCTCTGTACTGAAGTCGTAGGAAATAATTGTTGTAATCAAACTTATTCTACTACGTCGAAATAACTTGGACTGCAATTACAATAATGATTAAACTAAATGCTATTAGCTTACGTAAATACCTGGAAATATTACACAGAGAGGATAGACATGATATGCTACTTGTCCGAATGGTTTTACAGCGGAAGCTGACCACTGAATTTTAATAAGTAGTAAAGTGTGGTATGCAGAAAGAAGCAGAAAGGAAGAGGATGCAGGCAGAAAATAAAAAGACGACATATACGATGAAATATCTCTGTAATTTGTGTGTGATAAATGTTATGTTATATGCTAAGCAATTGTTGCCTGATGGGAAGTACTATGACTAGTTTTTTCAGATGCTTTATTATCAATTTTGAAAGTAGTTGACAAAAACCCTACATATAAGGTGCTTGCTTCACGGTATTATCGAATTCATACGTTGCTAGTACCACTTCTTATAATTTAGTTCCGTATTGTTCCTAAATGCTCTCGTATGGTCGAGGGTAAGGAGAGTCAGCTCTCCCTCTCGAAATGCCCTCACATGGACACGCGTTTACAGCCACTGCTAGGGAAGTCCTACTCACCGTCTTTTCGCACCATGGGTGTTGTTTACGAAATTGAAAGCACGAAAAGTGGATGTTTGACGCTTTAATTGGGTTGATGAATATGGAGGATCCACCTATGGGAGTTGAAAAACACTGATTCCAAACCAATGGTGCACATGGGCTCCAGGATCCTGAGTGAACAAATGGCGTATGAACCAATTGTTGGTCACCGGATACCATGGGACTGCATCTCCTTACGATGCTCCGCTGCCTTGTGGATCAGACCTTTATATCGAAGGCTCCGGGTATGGGCCCCTAAGAAAATCACTTGCTTCGGTTTGGGTAGCCGGACAGTATTACAGCCCACATACAAATCAAGTGACTTATGTGGCGCATATGTGTTTGGTGCCCCTTTGTCAGTCAGTTTCAACGTAGGACCAGGCACATATATGCATCGGTCCAAGTTGCCACACCTCATTAGCACAACAAGATGAACACCAAATTCATAGAAGCAGTTACTTCAATGGTAGTAACATGTAAAAGTAAAATTGTATATAACTATATGATACAGGAAGAAAGAATTAGTTCGTAGAAATAAAGATATAAAGCAATTTTAATCTCACGGTTTGAGGGAAGACAAACAGTGTATACACCTACGCCATTGTGATTGATTCTGATCCATGTCACCCACAGTCCACAACCATCGGTTACAATAGCAGCGCGGACCCCAACCTAGTAGTCTGTATCTAGCAACATGGGTCAGACTAGGAGTTAGTAACTTCAAGGACTGATGACACGTTTTGGTCTGGCCGTCCCTAGCTTCCTTCCAACCATCCCTAATACTAGTCAGCATTGTGCGTCGTGGTAATCGGTGTTCAGGCATACGTAACACGTGGCCAACCATCTAGGTCTGTGAAGATTTACAACCTCATCAACTGATTTACCATTATTTCGGAATACCCCGCATCTAACCTCACTATTAATTACCCGGTGATCGCAGTAGATGCGAGCAATATTTCTAAGACAGCTGTGATCAAATACTAGCAACATATGAGCATTTTCTATTCACAATGGCCACGTTTAGCAGCCGTAAATTAAAACAGAACGAACTGCCGCGCAGTATATTCGTCCTTTAATTGATAGACGGATATCTCGCCTTCGCCATAGGTGACGTAGGTTGGTATATGCCAAACGAGCTTTTGGAATCCGTTCTGAGATTTCGTCTAACACTAACCCATTTGGGCTGATCAGGCTTCCAAGATAAGTGAAGTTGTCAACGCGTTCGACTACTTCACTCCCTATGCTTAGTTCAGGTGTTGACGCAGACCAGTCCTGAAGCAACAACTTGCATTTAGGGGGGGGGGAGAAGTGCATCCCAAACACCCTGGCATTGTTACTGATTGCTGTTAATAGACTGTGTATTTTTCTCAGCGTCTTCACCAAACAGGGCTATATAATCTGTGTATTCTAAATCGATAAGTGGACCTCCTGGTAGGAGATCAATACCCGAGAATTCAGTCGACGAGAATGTTATTTCCATCAATAGGTCTATGATGAAGTTAAACAAAAATGGAGAAAGTAGACAGCCTTGACTGACACCACTTGAGGTTGCAAAATCAGATGACAGTTCGCCATAAGCTCTCACTCGACGGGTAGTGTTCGAGTAAAGAGCCTTCACAAGGTTTATGTACTTCTAGGGTACGCCTTTCAATGACAGACACTGCCACAGAATCTCGCGGTCTACGGAGTCAAATGCTGCTTTTAAGTCAAGAAAGACCACCATTGTCGGACGTCGATAAGTATGCCTGTGTTCTAGAACCTGACGAATGGTGAATATGTGGTCTATGCAGCCATGACCAGGTCTGAAGTCAGCCTGATTTTCTCTTGTTTGCAGTTCACGAGTCTTGCTAGGCGTCCGATAATTATTGAGGCTAGTATTTTAGATACAATATTAATCATACTAATCCCTTTATGGTGTTCACAGGACGATTTTGACCCCTTATACATCGGGACAATAAGTAATTGCGACCAGCCAGATGGGATTACGTCCAACTCCTAGATTTTGGCAAAAATATTAGTCAACCTAATCGCTAAAATTGGACTACCATCCTTAAAGACCTCTGGAGCCAATCTATCTGGACCAGCTGCCCTACCTCGTTTCAGATTAGCTCTAACCTTTTGAACTTCAGCCAGAGTCGGGGGGCCTACTTCAATGTTCCATTCACGTTGTCTGGGAGTGGTGGGTAGTTGTAGAGTAGCTGAAGGCCAGCTGAACTGTTCTCTGGAGTGTTCCGCCCATCGTTCTAAACGTCTGGACTGGGAGCAGATGAGAGTGCCGTCTTTTCCCGAAATAATCTGACTTACACTTGACTTATTTATTCCAATTTCTCTTATTAGTCTGTAGAGCTGTCTTGTGTTCCCTATAGCCGCCTCCTTTTCCATCTCTTTTGCTTTCGTTGTCGTTTCTTAGACTTTTGCTTAACCTAGATCTGATTTGTTTTCGCTCGTCACCGTGTTCAGAGCCTGATGGGATGAGTTTACGATAATCAATCAGTGCAATAGACCTAGAAGAAATCCATTGGTCATTTTTAACTTCATCCGAGCTGCAGTCAGTGGGAGCGTAGGCAGAAACAACCAAAAGGCAACGACGTGTGTCCCTATCCTTCCGGGTTCTTACGGAGCCGGTAAGCCGAACAGCACATAGACGACTGTTCATGGGATCCATTCTAATACTGCTTGTTCTGCCCTCGTACTTAATACTATACCTACACCTGCCAGTCCATGGGAACTAGTCACCAGGTCACCAGATACACGGAGGGTGTATCTCGTCGGTCCTCCGTTTTGCCGAGGTGAGGTCAAGTGAATGACTACTCTAGGATCCTGTATGTGTGTTTCGGAGACACAGCATACATCAATAGTACGAGATTCTACAGTCTTAGCCAAGGAGGCCTGCCGGCTGATTTGACATAGGGTGCGTACGTTGAAGGCTCCAATATGTAGTTTGGAGCGAGGTTTCAAAAAACCTGGGAGAGTGTTTTGTGCACTAGAATCGTTGGCCATGGTGACACTTGAGGAGGAAGCCAAAAGAGGAAGTTTAGTGTTGAAAGTCGTCATAGGGGTAATAATAGGGACTGTAGGAAGAGGTTGATTATGAACATATTGGTCTTGAGTGCTCTTAGAAGTATGAGGGTGGTTATCACTTCTCGGTTGCCCACACTATGGAAGGGGCGCCTTTGTACCAATATTTATATGTTCAAATAAATAAATAAGTTCCATATTCAAATGATTAATTCTCCATAGGTTTCTCAAGTCTCTGCCTACTAATTTTGTGAAATTTCAAATCAAATAACTTCTTCGATCCCGCGATAATAATCAATGTCCAATACTTCATTCACAAACTAAAATTTTCCTAGTAGCACAAATAGACTCAAATTAACGGGAACGTATTATCGATTAGTAAATAAAAACAAACTTTAAGACATTCTATAGGTTGAATCTTATAATTGATCTCCCAAATATCAACTAATCACAATATTCATGTATATGTTGTTGTGATATTAGCTAATAGAGTCTAGACAGAGAGAAAGTGTGTGTGTGTGTGTGTGCGATCCGAATTTGTAACGTCCTTCGACTGCTTGTGCTATGTGTCTTTGGGAAAGTGAGGTCTTATGAAAATAACCGTTATCGCGTAAATTTCACTGTAATTTGAATGGTTACTCGGCTAATTTTGTTTTTTAACTATCATGAATGAAGATTAGTCTTATGGTCAAGTTGAATCATTTTAGGTACTGGTTTCGAAATTCTATTTGTATCAGCTTAAATACACTTATACGTAGTAGTGTGTGTATAAACCAAGTAGCATATATGATTTTACTGTGATAAATTATTTTTGCATTTCTCAACCCCAAGGAACTCTTTATTAAGTTGGTCTTTTTTTACATTTATTTAACTGTTTTTTTCTTTCTTAGAATTTTACTCCAATTAAACGATATCTATCAACAACTACTACTGACTGTGAACAATCTTTAAACAATAATACACCAAAAACTGCTACTGTACGTTACACCGAAAGCCAATTTTACTTCGTTACATTTCATTTTTTATATCTATGGTAATTAATGATTCTAAACCTGCAGTTCAACTTATATTTTGTGAATTTTAGTCTAATAATATCTAAAATAAAGCCTTTAAAAGGTTTGATAAACAAAATATGCAACTGAATTTAATTGTACGTCAGTCTTGTTTGGATTGTTAGGAATTATAAAGCGTTGTGTATATTTTTCACTTTTCTTTATTTTTAAGATAATACATATCACATTAATCATTACTTTGTATTTAGTACTATTTAGAATTCTCGGGGTAAAATATTTAAATAAGGTCTTTGCACCGTTCATATATATATATATATATATATATATATCACGTTAAATTTTTATAATAGAAGAACAATCTGTATAGCAGTGCATAACAGGGTTACATTTCCAAGATCCAGGAAGTATACAAGGAGAAAGATATGAATAGAATAGTGAACGGTTTGTATCTAATAGGATATCACTTACCGGTTGTTTTACAAGATTTCAAATGTCTATCAACGGTCATATTCATTTAGAACACATTTAAAAGAAAAAATTCACCATTTGCTTTGTCTCATCTCCCTTGACGCTGAAAATCAATGAACTCATATGGAATCAAATACAAGATCTTCAGGTCCAAAGATATGGTCAATTAGCATTCAATCAATGATCTAATATTATCGACGGATGATCATCATATTTACAAACTGAATAAATTTATGGTGCTCAAATTCCCGTTAGAATTAAGCTAAAACAACTGGGCAATACACTTATTTTCTAGTTAATGATAAACTATCTTAAAACTTAAAAGAAATTCCTGTACATTATCAATTGTAATATTTTCTATATTTAAGGAATTCACATTGTTTCCAGTGTAATTTCAATGGTAGTTTTGTGGGATATATATTAGATATTCAATTTAAATCAAATTTGGATCAACATTCAAATGTTGTCTAAACATGAATCAAGTTAACTTTACATGATATTTTTAAAATTACGAAGTCTATCAAGGTGTTTAGAAGTAACTTACACAATAAAATGAACTAGTTTTGACCTGTGATACCAAACTACTCCGTGTTCATCAGTATAGATAGGTTTATTGAACGAAACTGAATTTGTTTTTTTCTTTTGATTGTATGTTTGATGCTAATTAATAATTGAATCCAGAACATTGTTCATTACTCTTCAAATATATGTTTCCTATCATGATTATTATGAAGGCTTGTACCTTTGCTTTAGATAGGTAATAAATATAGTTCAGTAGACTAGCTAATGGGGATAATACTCGTTAATTTTTCTATCAAGAGGTACTAGATTAAATTGTTAATTAGAACAGCAACACTGGGTTTCACATATATTTAGTAAATGTGTTCCAAATATGATGAAATACACTATTGGGAAATGTCGTAATAGTTATTAATAAAATAGCGCTTTATGATAATCTCTAATTATTCACAACACCTTAGTTGATGTTAAGTTTCATTAGAAAATAATAATCATTACTCGTGTTAAATATTATATGTACCTGATAAGTAGTTTTTGTATATAAGACAGATTCATCAGATAAGGAAATGTTTATCACTCGTAGTTTTGGTTTTCATTTGATTAACTTTTGTTACAGTTGGTCGTTGTTTGATAAGCATAGATTATTTATTGTCAATGTTACTCAATAATAATCGTTGGAGTATTTTTCTCTTGAATTTTTAGTGTTCTTATATTCGAACCCTTCCTAATCGAAGTGCTTCGCGTACAGGTCTTTCACGAAGAACCCGTTCTCGTTCTAGTATCCCTGGACTAAAAACTTCGTCTACATCTGTATCAGATAAATCTATTTCTCACGAAATAAAACAATTCGAGATCGTTGAGATTACAAAGTCACCAACTTCTGATATTATTCACCCGCTACTTATTCCTGAAGAACCGTGTTTTACTCCTGAGCCTAAAGCTAAACGTCCTCGCGGTTCCCAACGTAGTAATAAATGTGATAATTCATTAGAACTTTCTAATAATAAAGATATTTCAGAATGTATTCAATCACCTAAGGATATTTTGAATAGTTCAGTGGGTGAAAAAGAAAATGTGAGTTTAACTAATTCACAAACAATAAAAAAATGAAATAAGTTTTTATTTCAGAACTATTCTGACTAAATTTTTATGTCTATTAACCGTATTTTTTACTCGAACTCTTTCGGTAAACAAATTTAACAACCCGTAGTCATGTTAAATACTTTAAAACTCTGTTCGGGACTCCACAGTAGCTAATTGGGTTGGAAATAATTTCCAGAACGATGGGAATCTGAACATGAAAATTGCTTCTTGAAAGGAAGAGTAAGAAGTTGGAATGAACAGTTATTTGAATATTTATGAGAAGATTAAATAAATTCAATAACATCTCCATACATTGATTTCGAATATTCTATGGAGCCTAAAAAGAAGGTCTATGCCTACCGATGTACTACAAACCAATAGTCAATGAATTTATGGATTGATGTCAAATCTTGATTTGTCAACCCATTATTTCTTTCTAATCTACTCTTATTTCAGCTACTATTGAACATCTCTGACACGTTTTGTACATGAATGCCTAATCACCAAAATCCTAACGGTATCCTAGTTTCTGGGAATCTTCGAATCCCTCAGGCAAAAAACAAAAAGCTGTGCATACTAAAAAAGCCTTACTTCGAAGAGCAGTTAATAATCCAGAAAACTAGGGTACTCGTTGGCTTCCTATTACCTTGAAATTCTGAAACAGGTAGTTTACGAGCTTTTGGTCATAGTTGTTTCCGAAACAGTGCTTTTATCTCTAAAACAACTGAGTGAACCGTATACATAAGGTACTACATAAACTCAGCAAGTCGGTTGATGATTTTGCGAATTTTTCTGCTGAATTGGAGGAAACGCTTGTTACCCATACTCATTCCACCCCTACCCCAACTTAGTTGGGAAATGTATTAAGAATATCCAACTACCGCCTACTTTGACGGGGAAAGTTTGCTGGTGTAGGTGTAGATTGGTAGGAACGGCAGAACCAGTCCCATTGATAGATGGAATGAGGTGGGTGCAGACCACCTAGTTGTGGTCCGCGCGATTACCGTAACCAGTGGTTTGAAACTTTAAGTGACGTGGATCAGAATCGGTTGTACTGGTTTAGATACTTTCTCACTTCATCTTTCCTTATATCTTGAATTTCAAAATTTTCCCTATACTTTCTTCGCCTCACTAATTCATTTTTGTTTCATGAATTATATTGTCTATACCTAATTTTTTTCACTACTAATACTGTTACCACTTTTATTACTTTGGTATTTGTCTTGATAATTTTATCTCACTGTGCAAACGTGGTGTGGCAACCTAAACCAGTACACATTTGTGCCAGGTTCTGTGTTGCGTATGATTGACTGGCCGTCGAAATATGCTAGATGAAAGCTATGGTGAGACGAACGCATAAAATTAATCCATGAAATCATTCACCACCGGTCTGAATTGTTTAGGGAGGTACGTGCTACTTAATTGATATCTACAAAGTTGTTATGATCTGCGATTGAAACACTTAAGCGATATGGTTCGGTCTCACTGACTTACTCACCTTTTTTGTCTTTTCCTTTGGATTCTGAGTTTAAACTTGAAATCATATTATTAATTCTTAACCTTCTATTCGAACTATACTCTGTTTGAACATCGATATTATTATTACCTCGGTTTCTGATAATCATCTTCTCAATTTGATCTCATTACATTAATTTGATGTATCAACTTTATCCAATGCACATGCTTGTCTGGTTCTACACGAACTATAACTGACTGAATCACTAAATTTTAGCTTGATGTTGACTGAATATTTTGCCTCAAACTTAATTGCAAATTCATCATAATTTAATGTTCATTTATTTTGCTATAAAATTTAATCCTATAAAATATGTACTATGACTGACCATTTATGTATTGTTTCTTCTTTTTACAACAAAAGATATCGTTGTCCGATCCATTTAGAATAAAAACTCCTCCTTACAATTCAGAAATGTCATCTAATTCACAGCTGACAAATGATTCATTTGATAACTCTGACATGAGTATTGCAGATCTAGTGAAAACACGTCAACGTCGTCAGTCACGTTCATCTCAACCTATTACCGCCACATCACCAACGCAACATTCCACACCAATCATATCTAAGAACCGATTATCATTGAAAAGAATTTCGAAATAATGCATTTTTGCTATTTCATTTTTGTCATTTATTATTGTTGTTTCTCCATTTCTCCTGGCGTTTACTCAATTATTCAGTGTTTCAATAGAAATGTCACCAGTTTCCCCTTTATTATTGTTATTATTTGCCTTTGAGTGTAATTTCCGTAGTTATTTCACTTTTTACATTAAACAGAAGTGGAGATTTTGCAAATTGTAATTTAAAAAGTCAGTTATTTTCTGATAGTTATTTTTTTTTAAATTTTAGTTTACTCTTGGACTGTTAAGTTAAAACAATAAAAAGATGATATAGTAGCTTGTTCCATTTTCTTTTATCTTTCTGAACAGTTTCATAATCAGTGTATGAGGACTTTCGTTCAAACTCGATCGATTAGTTTCATGGTATTTTTGAGCCGATTCGATGTGAGACATTGAGGAGAAAGAATCTATCTGTTAAATTTCAAAATCAAAATTAAGTCGAAACTCCGTGAAATGATAATCACTAAGGCTTACGTGATAAGTGTGTAATTAGTAGGGAAAGAAATTTTCGTTTCCATGCTAAAGCGTTCATGACATATTGAAGTTCATAAGGAATAATGATGGCTTAATCTAAGCGGATGCATTTGTTAGTTCACTAATTATTTTTAGTGGGACGAAAATATGAATACTATCAATTTCCCGTACTGGAACAAAACGGTCATTCAGTGTTTTCCTGGTTTTCAACGTTTATCTAACCTAGATATGTTCACCAACAGATCCGGTGTTTTATTTAATGATTTATGCTTCTTGATGAAATTGTAGGACCAGTTTGCTATTCATGGTTAAAATTGCGTTGCTCAGAGATTCTCGTGTTTACACACTCGGTAACTTAATAATAGAATTTCTTTCTTTCCAAAGATTTTTCATTTGTTTTCGAATGGGAAACCTAATCTCGGTTACAGTCTAATTTTCTGTTAATCGTAAATCTTAGGTAAACGTTCTTACAGAGTGGATTAGTTGTCATGTGACATGATATCTAACTGGTTCTATCAGTGACTAAATAACATTCAGAAAATATTGAATTTGTGGATCGAAGAAACCCTTGGAATGTCGGAGCATTTCAAGGAAAACACCACTTCATCAGTTCTGAACACATGATCGTTAGGATGTGATCCAGAAAAAAGTCTAAAACATGGGTTAGTAAGTTCCATCTGATTGAATAATGTCTTTTAGTAAGCTGACCAGTTATTTTACATCATTTCCGTCCAGCCATATGTAGACTCGCTTAAGATTTAGCATTTAATTGTCATATGTAATTAGTTCAGTTATAAAATTTTCAATTAATTGTATACTATAGTTTAACCGTTTTAATATATAAATGAGTGAATTGTATATAGCTGTGCTGACTCTCACAAGTCAGTAATATGGATGGGAAAACGTGTAATTTGTAGTCCGTCAGAAGAAAGAGATGATATGCTCGTCATACAAGCCATTATTAAATAGAAACAATGCATGGTATGAACCTCTTAATGTCTCAAGCCAATCAAAATTGAATACACTGCCTACAGTCCTCATGTTGCATTCCTAGATTACCAGGTTTCTGTCATTACTGAGGATTTAATATTTTCAGTAAATTACATAGATATATACTACCTACCCGACTAAAGTACGTCAGTTTTTCATAGTAAAATCCCAGTGAATATAATTAAATATGTAGGGATTTGGAAATTTTTCACTTTAAAACTAAGAGTCATTGAATTCAATTTTCGCTTTTATTTTCACCAAATATATCAAACCGGAGATTTACTATGATTTATATAACTAGCGCTTATAAATTACAGAAAACTAGATGAGCTATAACGCACCATGTCCCAATCACAAATCTCTTCACTTAATTAATGAAGTAAGATTACCTACTATCGTTGAAATCAGTTCCTATCATACAATTAAAATGGTTGTATACAATCTAATAAATTAATGATATATTTGCAAATATTTTAAAATCACTGTACAACAAATTAGTATGAATATTGAAAACGATATTGCTCATTCATCAAAATTAAATACTGAAGATGTTTTTTTTTCTTTGTTAGTTCTGTTATTGTTGTTCTTAATAGTGACGAGATGTTAAAATTTAAGCAAAATTCTTGGTTATATTTTGTATATTACTCAAACATGCTTGTTGTTCAATTGTTGATTGATCCAAATTATTTTGTGATTGAATTTGTAGATGTGGAGGTAGATAAGTCCAGTGTTTCTCTTCTATGTTATGATAGAAAGGATTATGATGAAGATTATATCTTTCATCAATATTCTTTTTAACCAATAAATCAGTAGTTGAATACCTGGTAGATGATAATGATAAGAAATCATTTAATTTACTAACTTTTACAGGAACTTTAGATGATGGAATTTTATGTTCATCCTGTAATCTGAGTAGGTCAGTTGATCCACAATCAATATTTTTATTAGATACATTATCAATACAATTTGTCATATGTATATTATTATCATTACTTTTATTTGGAATTCCAGAATAAATTGAACGATTTGAATTATTTCTTTCCACGGTTCTGGAAGTATTATTGATTTTATCTTTTAGACTGTTATCAGTATTATTGACATAGGTAGTGTTTACAACAGATTTTATTGTTGGTGTCATTGTTAAACTTGATATTAATGGATTGATCTTATTGTTATTATTATCGTTACTATGGTACTGATGATGAATTGATTTTTGTTGATTTCTAGAAGCTAACTGTTTCATTCGCATTTTTTCTTCACGTCTCCATTTTGCACGTCTATTAGAAAACCAAACTTGTATACGGGTTTCAGGCAGTAGGATTCGACTGGATAACTTTTCACGAGAAAACACATCAGGATAATGTGTATGCTCAAATTCTAAAAATCAATCAAGACTATTAGTCATTATAGCATTAAATTTCATATGTAAATTTACAATTCAACAGAAATAAGAATTATATTTGAAATAAACTCAAGGATTGACATGCAAAATAATTCTAGCGTTTATCCCATCAAGCTTTTTTGGGCAATAATCAAAATCAAACTTACAAAAAAATATAGGAAGTTCAAACAAGTTTATAACATGAAACATTAGAATTACTTAGATTACAATTGCCGAAACTATTCCAAATACAATTTTTGCATATAATGTCTCCTATCTATTAGGCGTCCAATTTCTGTCGAATTATCCTTTCAAATATTCACACGAACAGGAATAATCTAGGAGTTTTAACTATCTTGTTTGTTTTCGTGTGTGCTACTAAAGTTCAGAAGTTACCTAAAATCAGTCTAGATAACTGTTTTAAAGAGAAAAATAAAAGGTTAGAAACTAGACAACCTTTTTGGTGACATTACTTTTTTTACATGTAATTATAAACAGATGAGTTTTCCATTTCCTCTATTCTCCTAATATCAAGCTTTCGTCTGATTTATAAACTATCACCATATTTTATTCTATCCTCAAATGATCTGGATTTGATCGTGAGCTTAATAGTAACATAATTTTGAAATCCAACTAATCAGCGTCCATCTAACAGATCGTCAATTGGTGATTAGGGTAGTTCCCTGCTGGCGAGATCAATCAGTCACACATCGAACTCAGTCATTAGCAGTTTCAGGGTCATATCGAGTAGCCTAGTGTATCAGGGCCACTAACGAGTTTTGAGACAAACCTCCCCGTAAATTCAACTACAGAACAAATGGACAAACTAGGACCATAATGATAACTAATTATAAATCATTAATATATATATAGTTAAGTTGGTTTTACTTTCTCCGTCTTGATTCACTTTCCTTCAACTCTCTTGTGTATTGGTTTATACTACGTATAAATATTCAGTAAACAGTAGAATTCCTAGCATTTTCTGGGCGTATGTTGTGATGTAAGTTTATCGTGTAATATTCTCAAGTAACTACATTTACTTATATAATTTATTGTATTTATGATTATAATCATTTTCTCTTAACCCTTATAGCAGTTATTTGCAATTTTGTATGTCCGTTCAATTCTTGTTTAAACGCAAATATTTCCATATTGTGTGCTCTTGGTTCCGTTTTTGCTTGTTGATAAACTGTTATTAGGATTAGACACAGCTATTAGCTGTCATTTTCACTACCGTATTTTTTGACAATTCTTTATGTTATTACTGCAGGAATCCTTCTTTATTTCAAACTTACAGACGCTCATGGCGCTGCAGGTAACTCACAAGTTGAGGTTTGTAGCTAATTTATGTATACTACTCATTAAAGGACCTCTTTCTTAGACAAATCGCTGTTTTGTGAACTTCGAATCCGCGCGTATCCTACTTTTACGATTTAGAAGCTCAGATAGATTATATTTACGTATATATATATATATATAAGTGTTTTGAATCGACCCTAGATATGTATATATATATTCAATTCTCCATATCCCTATCCAACTCTTCTATGTAACTAATAAAATAGAAAGTAACATACTAACAGTTATTTTGATCTTTCATTATCTAGGGTCGGTTCAAAACACTTTTTTAACAAAAAACACTACGATATTTCTCTATCTGACAACCTGATCATTTCTTTGCAAGTGAGTAACTCACCTCTTTCAAGTTCTTCTAATTGAAGATTAGAGAATGAAGTACGACTGCGTTGTTGTTGTTGTTGTTGCTGCTGCAGTTGCTCCTCATGATGATGACGATGTTGTTGTTGTTGGTCTGACTGCTTCTGTTTATTACTTTGATATTTTTCATCAGTCATAATCATTTGTGAGAAATTTATTTCACTTAATACAGAATTAGATCTTTCATTCAATTCAGATTTTGAACTATTCAACGACGATACTGATGTTGATGATGTTGTTGTTGATATTGATTGAACAATTGCAGTAATACTATTCGGTCTTTTATTCATTGTTCTAACACATAAATCAGAATTATCTTTATTAAGAAAGATTCTATTTTTAGTTAATTCTTTCGGCTGTTCTATTTGGTTTGCATGTAATGTTTCTAAAAATGTTTCTTGTGTTTCATTTAATTCATGATA